TTTCCTTAATTAGTGTGATTTGTGTCGGAGTGGCTCCGTGCATTGAGGCAACAGCTTCAACTGCAAAGTGCAACGAGTGAGTTACGATGGGAGTGGATAAAAGAGCAGTAAACAGCAGCTGACACCAGATAAATCAGACACCCACTAGACTCCTCATCACCACTGGGCCCAGGCTAAACTAGCTTCTGGTTGCCAGGGAACACAGGCTGGAAAAGAGAAAAGAAATCGCCCACGAGGCAGCTCTAAATATTGAAGAAGATATAAAATACTGCTGGTTGCTCCTGAGACTGAAGAACTTTAAAAGTCTTGCCATCCATTAAAGAAAGAGGCCCCTTTGTAGGATCTATTGGACATGAGAAACCATTAGCTTAGGTTTATCATGTCTGAATCTTTGTTGGAGCTGTAGTCATATCTAGAAAACTGTTTCAAAAAAATATATTTTTCAACCTTGTAACCTGAACCTCAGTTAGTTAATACCAACAGTATCATGTCGGGGATGACACTTGTCGACGTCTCTGAATCTGACTGTCAGAAAGATGTTTATGGTTACGATCAATTCGATGAGCAGATGTATTTCCCTGAAGAAGACACTAAGAAGCTATCAAGAAGTCACAGATCTATTGCCATAGCATCAGTGAGTTGGGCGTCAGACAACTGTGTCCATTTGTCATTAACATTCTATGACTATTGTTTCAGAGGCTGGTATAGCTGTAGATTGATGGCATTTTAGGTTTTGTTTTGGACAACAATGACAAAGCTGTAATTTATAACTGCAGCACGTGGGTAAACAGAACACACAGTAGTATTGGATGTTCTTGCTCAGATACCCCCCCCCCCCACACACACACACAGCATTTCTTCATTTGTTGTCCTGACAGAAGATTTTGACACCACAATAAAACACTATTTGTAAATAATACAGTTGTCCTCACATTTGATTGGGACAACTAAATAAATTATGTTGGATATCCGTTAAAAAATTGAAAAATATTTAGTTCTTATTAAACAGTACAATCCTTTATGGATTTGTGTTCAAGCCGATCTCTTCTTTCCGTTTGCTACAGCCTTATGGAGCAGCATTAATTCATCATTGCCTGGCGTTTACGACACACCTGCCCTGCTCATCTGATTCTGTCCCGTAGGTCTCATCAAACGTTTTGGAACCAGCAGCACCAACAGCAGCAGCTGTTTTTTACATTAGCCTACAGTACACTTCTTGCACAGAAGTAACACAAAAACAACAGACGATGTCTATGGCAACCTGACAGGCTGAAGGCTCAGGGTCTGGAGTACAGGCACAGTAAAAAAATATTAACGATGTTGAACATGTCAAACTGTCCCAAAGAAGCAAAAGACATAAATTACAGTTGTTTTTAAAAACTCATACTATACAGCATAAGCCTAAAATAATACACATTTATTACATAAAAAATTAACAAATAGAACTTCCATCTGTTTTTTACTAAGTAAAAAACTTTTAAAAAGTCATTTATTTTTTGGTGAAACAATCAGAAACAGATCTGAATAGAGAGTTTGGTACTACTTTATTGCAACTGATATTATTTTTCAGAGAACAAAAATCACCAAATATGTCTCACATTTTCTGTTTACTTAAATAAAAATGAGACACTCTAGAAATGTAACATATTTTCAACTAATCTTTCTTTTAAAAAGTCATTCACAGAGAGATTGTGTGAAGAATACGGTGTGCCTTCAATGTGAGGCAAATTGTAAATTACATAAACATTTTTGTATCCTGTCATATTATTAGGCTTTTTTTTAAAAATATAACTTTACACAGAAATCAAGAAGTCAGAAATAACCCTGAAAACTTCTGCACCTTTAAATCCATCCGTTAGTGAGCAGAATGCATCTACTGTAACTGATTTGTCAGTAAGAATTAGTCAGTAACCTTAGTGATATCGTTTTCTGTGAAACGGCCATACAAGGCTTTGTGTTCCATGTAGTCAGAGGACGACGTCGGACTCAAGTGAAAAGATTCAAGTCATCCTTTAAAAGAATTTTGTCTGTTTACGTTTCTGAAGGTTCCTCAGTTACGTAAACACCAGATTTCTCTGTTGACACTGATTGTTGCTGTGCAGCTCTCTGGGTCGTGTCTGCGGAGCCGGTTCGTATGATTTTTGTTATCCCTTGTTATTTTAAAGAAGAGAACAGGACTGGAGCTACTGCTGCTACTTATGCTGTCACTGCTGTGTAAAAGAGGAAAGAAGCATTGAGGGAGCAGACAACCAGACCTGCTGTGTTTCAGACTAACCTGGGTGCCAATGAGTAGGTAAGGAACGCTGGGTGCATATTCCTGCAACTCGGGCACCCATTCCTCTCGCACATTCTGGAAACTGGCAGGGTTAACCACGGAGAAGCAGATGAGGAAGACATCAGTCATTGGATAGGACAGAGGCCGCAGGCGGTCGTAGTCCTCCTGGAAGGGAACAGGACACTGACGGTTAATGCTGGCGAATGGATTCCTGCACGAGCTGTGAGGTCTGAAGGGAAGGGAACTAGGAGCAGACAGAACTCATTTCCTCTTATCTAACATGTGAAAAATTAATATTAGTGAATTTCGTTTGCAGAAACAAACATAGATGGACTTCTGCTTCTTGATGAGGCTGATCATGACAAATAATATGGATTTATTTGCTTCATGTAGCCAGGCTTATTGGTTAGGAATCAACTACTAGAGCTGATTAGGGACGTGTATTGGCAAGAATCTGGTGATATGATACATATCAACAACATGATATATTGCAATATACTGCAATACTATTAGTATTGCAGTATACAATGATATATTGTTTTTTTTTTTACCAATTTAAACATAGAAAAATTGTCAGCATAATAAATACACAATGCTGTTACATGCTTAGCATCAGGTTGCTAAACGCTACATACATTTAAAAAACAAACAAACCAACACCTGGTAATTGAAAAGAAAAAGGTCTAACTAGGATGTTGCAACAAGATATTGAAAATCAATCACAATACTATTTATTATCACAGATAATTCACAGATGTAGACGATCCTTTGTGCACGATCCAAATGAAGCACTGCCTCAAAAAATGATAAAATGATAACCTGCTCTCTGACTTACTGTACAAACATGAACGTTCACATCTCTCTCCTCCTGCAGAGGAAACGTTGTTTTCTGCCACTAGCTTGAAGACAGGAGAAGCAGTGAGCCTCCAACAATCAAACATGACTCAGCCAGGCCCTGCTCAGACCAAATGAATCAGTCTCACTTTTAGGTCATGGAAAATATTGTCTGCATTGCTGAAACTGAATCAAATTGGATACAACATCCCACTGTGACAGAGAATGTTGCAGTAGGACAGTGGAGAGCTGGCTAAACCTCTGACTTTAACACACACTTGCCTTGGGCAAGTTCAATTCTCTGCAACACACTCACACTGTCACACGCCACGGTCTAACACTAACCCGGGAGACAAGGCCTTCTCTCACAAATGGATTTACTTAAATAGCTGTGCAAATGTCAAGAGATCCAACAAACCACAGTGGTTCAGCCAAGAGATGTTGTCCAACTGTGCTGTTGTCTGAGTAACTGAGTTAAGTTCTGCAGAACTATACTGTGAGATTATTAAAGTAGAAAATGAAAACAGGAAATATTCAAGTCCATGCTTTAGTATCTCACATGAACTGGACACATTAACTGGATATAAATATACGTATGAGTTCATTTACCTCGTATTCCCACCGGAGAACAACATTTCGCAACACTCCCAGCAGATGGTTCTGGAGGTTACCTAACACAATCTGAACTTTCTGGTGTAATAAACGAATTGTGAATGCAAACCATCTGCTGCTTCAAACAAGCCGCGGGGATTCACAGGTACTGCAGTTCACATGAAAGGAGAGGGCTGAAGCAACAGGACATTCATGAGATCTGGGAAATTACACAACAATTTCGGGTTTGTCTTAAGACAATGTGGAAACCAGGATATTGAATGTCTTAAAAGACGGGTCCGTTTCAACCACAGGGGCTCTGACAACTTGAATTTGCTCATAACTTTTAAGCACTGCCATATGAAGCTGGAAAAACAAATTCAAAACTCTTTTGGACCAGTAGAAACAGTTTTAAAGTCAATAAAAGAACACCCAGGTCAACATGCTAACTCGTTTTTTGGAATTAGCATGTTCAGAGCATTAGAGTGCAGTAGTTTTTTTACAACACTGATCAGGTCATACGAACATTATTATTTCATAAATCTTCCCTATATGAATTTAATATGGTTTAATCCAATCTCATTATTAAATTATCACTATAGTATCACCAATGAATACCAATATGTCCAATATCCACTCATATCATGTATCCCTGTTCACTGTATAATAGCCACAATATAGTTCAGTAATAGAAAAGCATTACACTCCCAACCTTTATCCTGCTACTTTGCATTAAATCCCTTAACTTACTCAACTTTTTTGGTTATCTTGACTGAGTTGATGACCGGCGTTCACTCATGTCAATCCAACGACTCTCCCACTGAGCCACAGACATTAAGAGAGTAAATGTAAACCACTCTGCCGTTCACTGTAAACTGGCACAGAGCTTCCCCTCAGTACCACACTGGAACATTACCAAAGACTGTATGTCCAAGCCATCTGAAAGACTTCACTGCTCGGGTTTAAGGTTTCAGGTTTCTGATGAGCAGTTTTCATCCCAAAAATGTTAACTTTTCTTCAATTGTTTCGAGTGTAAGGTTTCAAATCAGAAGTATATCAAGCGTGGTGTGCAACGGCAAAACCCTCAGCAGGTTGCATAAGAGACTATGAATCCATCATGGGCATTAAATAAATGAAATGATCCCTGAAGGAAGGACTGACCAGGTATCTGGGTGTACACATGACAGAATCCTAACACCAACTTCCATCAGGGTCTTCATTCGGCCACTGTGAGTACGTTCGTCTGACTGATCTCTGCTGGCTGGGTGACACAGGACTGAGTCATTCTCTACTCCACTGCCCCCTCCCTCTTCTGCTCTCTCTCTTTCTCCGATTCTACTCCATAAACTCTCTATGTCAACAGAGTCAGACACCTCCAGCTCTATCATGGCTGCCAGGCGAGAGAAAAAGGAGCTACGATCTTCGATATTCTGTCTCTATTTTTATACATTCATTTCCACATGGATTCAACTACTGAATAGAAAGACATATTTAAATGTTCTGGAACTTTATCGATGACTTACGTTATAAAGCATAGCCTTAGCACTAACGCACTCTATCAGGTTCATGCAAGTCGAAAATAAGACGGTTTTAAGTTGCTTATAAATTCATAGATTATGTGCAATTTATTTCACAGTTCAACAACTGTTTGTGTTGCACAATTTTTTTACAGCGTCTAAATGAGGCTGAGTGGGAGTGCATTTTAAAATATAATTTATATTTGAATTTAAAAAAAGACAACCACTACCATAGATTCTCTGCAAGACATTAACTTTTGTCGCTTCACCATAACTTATGGAACTGCCTCGCACCTCTTTCAAAAAGTTCTTCTTTCCGTCTCGTCCTAGCAACATCTCTAAATCTTTCACTAAGCGTTGGTTTTAGATAGGGTATGATAAACAAATATTTAAAACCAACAGGGCAAACGATGTGTGATAACTCCGCTCTTCTGCCAAAATGCGGACACCGTACAAAAGTTCAAAGATATTCAGAGCGATGTGATGTTGTAGTTGAACTGTTGCATCACAGACGAAACAAGCAGATAAACAAGGTCATATATAGTACGCATGATCCTGTCATTGCATTTAAATTTAATATTTTTAATTACACAAATTAATAAGTACATTTTGGCTTTTATTTGAGGATTGCCAAGTGTACCCTGAGTGGGTCAAACTAGGGTCACTGGGCCACTGTGTGTCGCTGAGTTAAAGAGACTCATTAGACTCTACCAACCACCAAACAGGGAGGCGGTGGTAAAAGAGATTAAAGGTTGACGAGTCGAGCAGATGAAGACAGGTCCAAGTGTGTGATAATAGGACAGCAAGTCCTGGATCCTCAAGGGTCCCAACTCCAGAGTTTCTCTCCCTGAAGTGTAACCATGGCTACCGCAGCACTTAGTATCCACTTCCTGCTTCCTCCTGCTCCTCCGCAGATAGCAATGCTAGATTTTCTTGAGTGCAGCAGGAACAAGAGAATGAATGAATAAGTAAAGACGTTCCACTCTGCTACCTTATCACATTCAGTCAAACAGACGTTGCAGACGTGCCGTATGGAATAATTCAATAGGCGGTGACAGGAAGGCTAATGTAGAGATGTGGAGACAACAGCCGCCAACATGGACGCCGTATCAACAGCAAACAAAGAACGGTGACACCGTGTTGTGGTTACGTGGCCTGACATGTAACACGCGTGTCAGCATCGAGCAGCATTCCGACAAGGGCAGAGTGGCAGGGGGTAGGTGGTGTGTTGCTGATGTGCTCGTGGTGAAGCAAAGCATTATGGGACTTTCAGCCATGCAAAGAATATGAATATATTACAGGGAATCATGAAGCTGTACAGGACGGGGCAGACGTGGAGGAGATGCAGGGAGCTTTAATGTCAGATTTCAAAAAGGAAAAGGAAAGTAAAACGAAGGCAAAAGTACTGAATTTATTGCATTTCTGAGCATCTCCCCTCCTCCTCCTCTTCTCCTTTCTCTTCCTCTTTCTCTCTTTCTTTAGTCAATCTCTCTCTCTCTCTTTGGGGCGCCAGGTCTTTGATCAGATGCTGGAGCTATAAACATTAGCAGCTGGCCTTGTGCTCCATATAGAGAGGTCAGGAGAGTTAGGGGCGGAGGGTGGGGGGATTTTCAAGAGCAGTAACTCTACCCTCGGCAGCCAGCAGCACCCGCACAGCAGACATCTGGGAGAACTTCTCCATTTCAGAGACATTCTGAATCAGCTAAAAACAAACTATGTTAAACTCCAGTACAGACAATATGGCTGTGTTCCTCTTTTTACAACTAAGTAGTAGCACTTAAACCATCTGCCTCGCGGAGGAATAAACACAACAGTGCCACAGGTAGCTGTTTGGCTGCGACGGAGAGCCACGGTGGCTGTGATTTGCTATTCATGCACTTGTGAATTCAGCATTTGAGAATGAACAGGGGACGGAAAAAAGGCTGATTATTCCCCAGGTGACCTTCAAGTGCTTCGTTTCTTGCCTTTTCCAGAAAGCTGCTCATATTTCAGACAGTGAATCACCCTGACTTTACACAATTAAACCTAGTCCAGGGGAACATGTTAACGATCCACGTTGCTGGAAACAGAGGTGAGAGGTCCGAGCACACAGTCACTTCTACATGTCCTCAGTTACTCCCCGAAATATACTGCCTGCATCCCTGTGGTTAAAAAAAAATCTGCAGACATGTTTGCGAAGCCAGTTTCTTTTAAGCATTCAGAATTGTGCAATTTTTTACATCCAGCCTTCCCCGACGTATAGTCTTCTCGTAAAACTCCTTGTTCCGTGCCCACAATCTTACCGCTGTCAATTCTGCACATTTCTGGACAGTGTCATGAGGCATAACTTAAGAAAGTTACTTCCACATTCACTGTCAGAATTCTCAGTGTAGGGGTGTTTTTACAGTCACTTGCTTTGTGTCAGAAAGCAGAAATAAAAAGAGACACAGGCTCACTTGGTGCTTACAGTATGAGAAGATTTCCTCAACGAACCATAACAAAATCAACAACAACAACGTCTTTGTTTCATACTACGGCCAGGAAGACTGCAGCAGGTCCCGGCCAGACACAATGCGAAAGTTTTTACTCCATTTTGCACTGGAATTAGTCTTTGATTCATTTAGTTTCTTTTTGTTTGTTCCAGCTTTCAGTTCTTCAGAGTTTGAAAGTAAAACAATATTAGGAGCGGATTTTGTGTCTTTGGTTCTTGTCGAATTTAATTTGTCCCCAAGTTTTTTCACAATAATCGTACTGTACCTGAACTTGCTAGAAGTGCAACAAGGTTCGAAAGGAGAACCCACACCAGGTTTTTCCATCCATCCTTCCATCCATCCATCCATCCATCCACCCAACCCTTTTTTACCTCTCACACCTCTTCAGGGTTCATCTAAGTTTGCTTGCATCTCCTTAGACTTGCAGAGAAATTTTAAGGTTTAGTTTACTTTGGCCAGCTCACTGCCCGCTCATGCAGTTCCCACTTTAGGCAGCGCTTGCGTAGGAATTTACCCGTTACTCCAAACTCTTCCTCCCAAATTGAACACGTCGATTTTCCAACTTATAATCAAATGAAGACGTCTAGACATCCTAGACACTTATTCTGCAATTATCTTCACAGAAACAACAAGTCATTTCAGATACAAAGGGCCATTGGGCTGTTGTATCTTTTAGTGTGTGTGTACAGGGCAGTGTGTGTGTGTTTGCGTATAAGGCTGTGTGTATGTGCCGGATGATACAGTTATAAGTCGTGTTCACTGAATGGCACATTGTAAAGAAAAAGGCCCGAGCGTTAAGCAGCCCTATTAACAAACCTGTGACATCACTACTGGACATAGAAGCCCTGTTCTCCACATAATAGATCTATTTAAACCCCTTCACTGCCATAACTGTCCGTGGCACACCAGACTCCGGCAGTAAACTCATGATCCAAACCATCACCTGTTGCAGCTTAATGTCTGGCATGAATGTGAAGCCCGTGGGCGTGCAGGAGGCACAGTCGGGTGGGTGCGTGGTCCCAAGAGCGCACGGGGAGGGCGGGGGGGGCTAAGACAAAGATAGTGTGGGAGACAGGAAGCAAAGACCGTGTGTACACCAGCGTGTGTCCTTGACATGTTTGGCATTCAGCCAGAGTTTGAAAAAAAAAGAAAAAAGAAACGGCTGTACCTGACCAGCTGTGTCATACAGTCCCAACAGGTACTGTTTTCCACCCACGTTGACGCTCACTGCAAGAGAATGACAAAAGAGCAATTTAGAGGAGAAAGCCCAGAGCATGAGGGTGGGGTAAGGGTAAAAACGGAAGGAAGGAGAAGAGGGAGTTGATCAGGGTCCCCCAGCCTCCCTCTGTGTGAGTGTGTGTGTGAGTGTGTGTTATGAAGCAGGCAAACAAGTGGTTTAGATTATAGCAACAGATGTAAGACAATGCAGTTGGAGGAAGAGTGGTGAAGGCAACTGGGAATTCAAATGCATTTTTCTCTGTGCAGGAAACTGTTTGTTGACATTAAGGTTATTATTTATGTCCAAGCTTGTGCTCATGCATCATACCTGCATAATGGTCAAAGACTGTGGGCACATACTCCTCAGGGAAGGCGTCATTGGCATAGCTCATCAGAAGGCAGGTCTTCCCCACTGCACCGTCTCCGACCACGACGCATTTTAACATTATGGTACCGGTTCCGTTGGCCATGATCCCGACCATACCATCATCATCGTCCCCAGCGGTCTCTGATGCCCCGTTGCCCTCCTCGACTTACTCCCCCTCCTCTTCTTCCTTCTGCTAGTTCTCCTGCTGCTGCTGTTGGGCGGTGATCCCCGCACGACGGGCATCAGCAGCGGAGCAGGCGGGCTGAGAGGCGCTGGGAGTCGAACTGGAGCTGCATCTTTCTCCCTCTCCCCTCCTCACCTCTCCTCTCCACCAACGCCACTACAGCCACCGGTGCGTTACTCCCAGGTTTGGTGGTGAAGGAGTTTGCTTTGCAGGATTGACAAAATCAACAGTAGTGCCCAGTCGTGGGACGATCTTCAGTCGCTTTTCCTCAGACGAAACAACGATGGAGAAGTCCCAACCGCACCAAAGTCTTGCTTGTTCCCCCAGCTGCACGTCCCTCCAGTCCGTTCTCCGGAGCCTGGCGCACCGCTCTAATGCTGCTGCTGCTGCTGCTGCTGGAAGGCAAGGTGGGTGCGCTTGGTTGAAGGGGCGGAGCTTGGGTTTAAAAGTAAGGGACTCTGGAAAAACTACACTTCGCCAGGAGGAAATGTGTGCGGTAAAGACTAAAGAAATTACGTCATTTTTACATTTCGCAATAGGCTAGAGGTTCTCAAATGGAGGTATGCGTACCCCCGAGGGTACTTATAAGTACTAAAGGAGGTGTGTAGCATATTTTGAAAGAAGGAAAACATATTTAAAAAATGTTATTTCATATATATTCCAATTAAAAAATAACTATTACTAAGTGCATGAGCAAAACTGACCCAAATCCGGTTTCTTGCCCATGCGTGACCCATATCTGATATCTGACCAGCACAAATCCGACCTGGGTCACTTTTAAAGTGTTTTCAACACGATCTATGTCTGGATAATTGCTTCACATTTTACACAATTTAAGATCACTGATGTGAGAAAGACATCACAGTTCTGCACTGAAATATGAAAGGATAAGAAGAAAAAAAATGGACAAGCATGCAGACCCTATTGAAAAAGACATTAAGGGGAAAGAAGAAGATTGTCAAAGTTTCATTCACTGGGATTGCTGGGATTCCCCTTCCAAAGATTATAGGGCTGGGGAGAGCCCCCTACAGGAACAGTACTTAGCCTTCTTAATAGATAGTGGTCTTAATAGCCTCTGTCATTTGTTACATTTAATCAAATTTCCTTTTCCTAAATGGCTTGGTGTAGACTAATGACCCAGACAGACAGATACAACAGCATAGTGGATGTCAGGGGCAAAAGTAACCATTAAATAAGAAATGATGTAGACATTCATTTACAAACTACAATCCTTTGTTCGACTATCAAAAGCTTTTTGTATCTTTAAAAAAAAATCACTTCAACACTATAGTAAACTGTGATCCAATTTAGAGGAAAATAAACCAGGATCGTAAAGGGACAGTATGTACTGTATGACTAATTGCTAGAAAAGTCCAGTACAAGAGCAACTTCTGCAAACATTTTGATAAAATTATATATTTTTTGTTTATATAATCAAAACATTTTGTAGGTTATGAATGTTCTAATCAAGCAATTCAATTTTTTTTGCTATTAATAAACCCTTAAACCAAAAACAGAATGCAATCATCTGTCTCATCTATAATAGTTACAAACACACTTCCTGTTGATACTCAGTAATCTAAGGTGAAACTGTCTTTCATATTAATTAATTAACCACCTAAAGACTGTCCCAGAGGTTCCTGACCAAGGCCAGATCAGACCCATGTCACATGACAACACATTTACGAGCACAGTTAAAAACACATTTCATGTATCGTACAGTATATACTGTATATGTTAAGACTTTACTGGCACTCACTCTAAGTTCTGTTGTGTCGTTTTTTTATGGTGCACCACACATATGCTGTCTGGCCAAATAGGAAAAGGTCAAAAAGGTCAGAAACCCCAGTCAGGTCTGTTCTCTGAGCCAACTGCAGGTCTCAGTTCCCAAGTAAAGACAATTGTAACACGATATTAGTTTTGACTAGGTTGTGCATCTGTCCTACCAAACTGTCTTCCAGCGTGACATATGAGAATGTGCACCAGCTGTTTGTTAAGATACCAGAATGTTGTAACTCAGGTCAAACTCCAGCTTCTAATTTTAGGAAACTGTCTGCTTTTCACATGACTTTGTGCTCGAGGACATAAACAGATGATCCATTTTTACTGTGCTGCAGTGTGTGCAGATGGAAACACCACAGGAGAAGCTACGTGTTTATTAAAAAAGAAGGAGGGGGTACAGAGACGTGACCTCTGTGGAGAGGTCGACCAGCTGTTGGCCGTCCCTCGACTCATAACTGTCCTGTCATAGAGACATATCGCCAAAATGGAGGAGAAAGTGCAAGGACGTGTCAGACTTGGGTGTAATTTTTCTTGGTGTGTGAACTTTCACTTTAAGGTCAAACTTTTCTCAAATGCAAAATGGGAACTAAGGCATGGCAAAGTCAACGGGACACGGGGTGAAAACTTCCTGAAACACATTAAGTCACAGGTCATCTACTGTAACATAGCCCTCAAAATTATCACGAAAATTGCATCTCCTTAACCCTGTTTATCCTACACTATAATCTCTGCATTTCAAAAAATATCTGCAAGCACCTGCTGTTCAGTATTAGTATTATTAGTTTAACCTTAAATTCAGCTGTTGTTGGAGAATCTTCCACCATTTCGTGAGATTACAAGCAGTGGTCTGCAATAAAAAATAAATTTAAAGTAATTTATTTTAACAAGACTATTTTTTGTTTCTATATTAGAGAGTTTGTTAAAAATGTGACTGCATTTATTAAAAACTATACTACTAAAAATATCTGTTCACTTTAACTGCAGGTTTTATTCAATGTATTTACAAAGAGGTGACACCGTGCCTGGACACAGATTGATATCCTGGTTGATGAGCCCTAGAAGGCTGTGACGTGTCCAATCAGCTCCGGGGGGTGGAGTTAAGGATTCTCCAGCTATCATCACATCTGACAGCTGCTGCAGCAGTTCACGTGACCAAACAACAATGACCTCATGCATGTACTGTAATACTTCAGCTCAAGGTGTTGCACAGGAGACGTGATGTGACAGGTAGAGGGATGACGAAGGTCAATCTCATTGGTCACGTTTGCTCTGCACATAATTAATATACTACCAACCTGTAGTGATTGAAATGCATCACCAGCAAAGACGACTTTATTTTATTTAATACAGGTCTTTGGGCACATGTTCTTTATTTTAAATAATTATATCAGTCATTCAGAAACAACTGAAGCAAAGGTGCATATTTTACATCATATTTGTATCTATATTTCCATTACAGAGCTCAATTGCAGTAAATGATAATGCACTCCAGAAGCATATCAAGTAACCACATAAGACCAAATTAGATTTGAAACAGTGAAAACATGTAACCCAAAGACCACTGTCCGCACACGGAAAACTGACATTGGAAATACATATATAATATACATACATAATCTAGCGAGTGTAAATAGATCCATGTAAAAAAAATATGATTTTGAAGAGAAACATTAAAAGAAATCTACATCTATCAGTTGAGTGTATAATCAAAGTATACTCCCACAATGTTAAAGAACTACAGTACCTCCAAGAAGCCAGAGTGCAGGTTTTTGACTAGCTGGCACATACCCCTGAATTAAATCCAATAAAAAATATGCACAGTCAACAACAACAACAACAACAACAACAAAACACAGCTCTTTCCAGAAGACAAATGGTTTTGAATACATTACAACGCTTGCTTAAGACTTGATGAAACTACACCCAAACAATACTGCAGTGCAACAATATTTAACAAGAAGGAAACACAAATGACCAGTAGGATTTATGGGAGTAATCATTGTGGCCGAACACTGTACAAAACCAAAAGTCATTGCTTAACAATAAAAAGGAGAGAAAATACCTTTAACAGACACATGTACAAACATAAGCCAAGCTGTGCTTTTAGCTGTCAGACAGAATGAGTCAGTTGACTGTTTATGATGTGTCTTACCTCTGTTTGTCTCATTCTGTCCTCTGGTGTTTCCTGCTCCATCCCTAATGCACATTACCTGTACCTTATTATCTCCCCTCCTCTGTCTCTGCCCAGGGCCCTGTGCCAAACGGCCTGTGTTCTTCCTATATGACTTCACCCCTGCCTGATGTCCGGTTCAATAAACCCTGCTATTAATTAACTCTCCCCCATCTCTCTGAGTTCTTCTTTTGATTCAAAAATGTGTAAATAATAGTTACTCAGAAAAATGACAAGAAATTCATCTTTAAATTTCTATTTTTTAAGGACATCCAGGTTGTTGCTGTGCAGTGCGCGTAGATGTTGGCAGTGAAAGGTATGGGGCCACACTGAGAATGTAAGAAAGTAATTCAAATATGTCAAGATGTGAATTTATGAGAATAAAATCATAATATTAGCATAAAAGCTTTTTAATGTATTTGATGTTGATAAGTTTTGTTGTTGTTTGTGAAGTCAATGATAAAGTATAACTTCATACAGTAAGATGCTCCACACACTCATGGTTAATGCTGTCTCACCACCCCCACCCCACTCCCCTCTAAAACTTCTCAAACTTCTCATGTATTTACGACTTTATTCTCATAATTTCAGACCAGATTTTTATCCTCAGTGTGGCCCTGATACTTCATTGTAATCAGACACTGTTGCTCACGAGATCATTAATGGGCTGCTGACCTTATTATCCACATGGCTGACATTTAGTGTGGACCGACTATTCCTGTGGAGGCTGAGTTTAAAGTTGAAGCCTTCAGTAAAATAATTGCCGCTTGGTGTATGTCAGCTTTTTTAGTAAAAATCAACTCACTTATTATGGTGGTTCAAACTTTGTGTTGACACGGGTGTTGACAAGAAGAAAATTGTGTTTCAATGCATTTTATTCAAACTGATTGAATATCAATGAAAACACTAATACTATGTGGGTTTGGATTTCATCTTTCTATTTGCAGAGGACTGCAGTCTGGCCAGCAAGTGGTTCTATTCTGGGAAAGGAAACAAATGCGAGAGCTTTTCACTCCCATGTCTCCTTTCCAATTTGCAGATACTACAGTATCATCTATCAAGAGTTAGAAGTGCACAGAAACGCACACACACGTTTTAAGACTCTGAATTGACTTCCATAATTCTTAACAAGAAATTTGAATCTCCGTCTTTAAGCTAAATTAAATTAATATTTAATTTTTAATATAAACCTTAGAAATGTGGTAATCCCAAAACAAGCTGCTGACTAAATGAGAAAGGATCCTACTGTTTAAAAAAACCACCACATATGAACACAGACACAAACACACAGCTGGCCTTACACTAACTGATATCAATCACAAATTGAAGACGAGAGAGAGACAGAGAGAGAGACATAGAGTGTGTGTGGTGGGGGAGTGCAATAACAAATGCTGTTAGATGAGCTCCTAAATTAGAGCTCGTGGCAAACGTGGACTCCCTGGGAGGGTTTGGTTAAATTACAGGCCATATTTTTAGTGAAGGCTCTGCTTCATGTCTGTATCTACAAACAGCTGAGGACCATCAGTCACACGTCCGTCTGCTCCCAGTTTGCTCCAACACCGGAGCTGTTAACACTGGTGTGTATCTGGTGAGCTGAAGTAAAAGGAGACACAGACATTTCTCTGTTCCATAAATTCACATGTGTAATTGTAAACACTAAGTGGTTTCCAGGATTCAGACGTATGTACTTGGATCATGTTGTTGCCTCGCAGTCACAGACAGGCCAGGTGACGGACACCAGGAGAACATAGATGTTGTCTGTAAGTCAAATGTGGGTCACGAGAAAGAGAGAGAGAGGGAGAGAGAGAGAGACACGGGCGTCATGTTGAAACCTCCCAGACACACACCCTCAGTCCTTATCACATGAACAGCTCAGCTGACCGAGAGTTTCAGCACCGCGGCTGAGAGACGGCTAAAGACTGGAGCAGATCACAGTTCAGTGGTATCGAACATATGAAACAAGGAACAAGACGTTTCTTCATAGCAACAGATTTGAATCTTTCATTTAAAGCTAATTATAATTCATTCTATTCTATTCTTTTAGTTCTATTCTTTTCTATTGAGAAGAACCAGTGACATTGAACTGGAGACAATACATCTGTCCACCTAGAAAACCAAGCCCCTGCTGCCGACATGTATTGTAAATGACTTGGTAGTTCCTTAAATCCTCCTCTAATTTATGAGCAGCCCTCCTCTCCCTCAGCTGTCTTCATCTTGTTTTTTCGGTGAGCACCTGCCCGACACACGTCAGATGGCGACAGTCTGCCACACTTCCTCTGCACAGCTATCTTTAGTGACGGCTGAAGGACCACGTTCTCTCCTGCCTATTGTGTCCTTCTCTCTGTGTACAGGAACTCCAGTCGGACTCCAACAAAAGAACAACACCCTTCCTCCGGTACTGAGGATGAAGGCAGGAGGCCCAAAGTGCGTAAACAGCAGAGCATATTTTATTGTTGTGGGAAACAGCGTGAAGCCTCAAGGCCGACATCCTGTAAGATGTCTTGGGCTTTTTCCACAGCAAGTAAGAGAACGAATATATGATGTAGTCACCCGTCAGGGGGAAATCATAGGTTTAAGAAACCCTTAGAGGTAAAAAGAAAACTATTTTTCTTGATCTAAAAACTTACCTCCATAGCAGAGAAACTGAAGTTTAGTTTTAAGATATAAAAAGCACTATTAAAACCACTGTTAAAGTCACTGTTAAAGTCACTGTTGGTTAGATATGAGAAGAGAGTCTAAAGAGTCTGATGCTCAACATTATGTTAAAACAGTTTCATGGCCAACATCAACATTTTTCATATTATTTTGCTACAATGTAAATATATTGTAGCATCTCGTGTTAAATTACAACGTTTCTTTTTTAGATCTTAGCCACAGATTTTCCTCACTGCAAGAAATAATAGAAAGTTAAAGTTTCCGTCAATAATTTTCACTTAAGATCGGAGAGAAACCTTCGTCAGATCATGTTAATCCTGTTGGCTGTCAGATTATAATCCCGTCATCTGTGTTAAATGACTCCATAATTTCCCAACCAGCTTGGTCTTTTAACTTTTCAAGACAGTACAGACATGATCAGAGATGCTGTGGTTTTGTAACAAGTTCTTTGTTCTGAAGTCTGGCTCCCTCTTGTGGTTTTAGTGTCACATCAGCTAACTCGTCACTTGAATGTGACTTCTTTTGCAACAATAAAGGTCAGATACGTTGATTGTATACAAAGACGAAAAGAAAACGTGTATATTGTCACTGATTTATTTCTATAAAAGTGCAGAAAATCATAAATAAATCTCATAAATAGTACAAGGATTAATAAATACATATTCTTAACACGCTGCAGGAGGTTGAACAACTGTGCAGTATGTGATGATGTTCAGCACAGGTTCTTTTTATATACATTACATAGTCATAAGTCAAAATATTACATTTCATTTCAAATGAGGCGTCTTCTGTAAAGAGCCAATAAAAAAACGAAATGTTCCCCAGACGTGACACTTCACAGTTGTTCTTCCCCTCCTAGCCACTCCTCATCCAGCTCACCCAGAATCTCCTGCAGGGACAGCTCAGGCAGCGGAGCGAGCTGCTCCAAGCCCGGATGCTTGGATTCCCCACAGCTGTCCACAGCGTGCCCACTCCACGACTCTTCCAGCTGTGTGTACTGACCTGGGCTGTTGTCCAGGCTGACGTCCCAGTATCCAGAGTCAGGGGTGTCTGGGGTGGAGGTGTGGGAGTTGGATGAGGTCATGTACATCTGCTGCTCTGCTGGATACATGAAGTGGGCTGCCTGACCAGAAGTGTAGTTTGTCATCTCCGTGGGAGAATGACACCACAGCGGGGTGGCAGGGGGAGTTTGGCTGCCTGACTGGGGCCAGTAACCCCTGTCATGGGGACTTGAGGTGCTGTTGCCGCCCACCAGCCTTCCCTGCTGCACACCATGCATAGAACCATAGTGTCCGTGCGCCTCAATAGTGGAGAACACAGAGGGACACTGTCCATAGAAGCTGCCTTCCTCCAACTCCTCCTTCACCTGGGTAGGATAGGCTGGTGGAGGTCGCTGAGGGGGCATGGGCATGTGGCCCATTGGGGGCCCCCTATTGGTAACGGCGTGATGTAGAGACAGCACATCGTGGACTGGACTGTCAGACTGCCACAGCGCTTTCTTGGCTCCTTTGCACTTCAGGGTGCGAGCTCTTCTGTTTTGGAACCACACCTGGACAGGAAGAACATAGAAGAGGGAATTTTAGACTCAGGATCAGAATCAGGACGGATAAGACAACACATGCTGCTCTGTTAATCATTTGCTGGGCTCCAGCGGACAGAGCCGACCTTGCATTTCTCAGCTGGTGAAGCTCGGTGTACAGTTTATCTGTGCTGTTAAATAAGCTCCTGATAAAACCTCTGTCGTCTCTTAAGATAAGGAAATAAAGTGATACAGTGATAACAATATCTATCCTTCAATGTGGGGTGAATTTGAAAACAGAGGCTGTTGTGATAGATAGATAAAAAAAAACTACATGGAAAAAGAAGTTAGAAGACATATCTTAAAATAAGCAATACCCACCAGTATCTAATACCTGATGTGGTTCTCACTATTCAGCATTTTTTTAAACTTAAATTTCACTGGAATCCTCTATCTACCCAAGTGATAAGGGTCTGTGTAAGCTGCAAGAAGTTGTCATGAGGCGATGGTTACCTGTATGCGTGACTCTGGCAGGCCTGTGGTCTGGGAGAGGCTTTCCCTGAGACTGATCCCGGGGTACGGGTCCGTTTCAAAGGTGACACGCAGGAGTTCTACGTGTTCCTTGGAGAAACTGGTTCTCTTCCTGCGGCTGGCGCTACGAGAGGAACCAGAGGCTGCAGGCCTGGCATCATCTGATGATAAATGGGAGAGAATATGAGAGTGAAAAACCTGGTTTAATTTTTTTTTATTTTGGGAGGATTTATTTTGATTCTAAAATCATTTTAAAATGTATTGACTGCCTGTATACAGTATTATTACTGCTGGTGCAGCTGAAGTCTGACGGCTGCTGCTTTACGAATGTTTTATTCTCCGTGCACCTAGTCAGTCGGTGAAGTTATGCTTTCAGTTATGCAGCAGTTTATCTGCAATGATTAAATATACTGTAGTTCTTATAACCATTTACATTTTGTTTAAATCTTGCTGGGGCCCAGGGATGTCAAAAGACAGCAACAGATATAGGATTATGAAAGGAAATGGTCTGTTATGGATGTGCATTTTTTATTATTACGACAAACAGCATAACTAAAGACAATCTTGGTTGCACTTTTGAACATATAAACACATTTTTGTCCTCTCTTATCTACTCTAATCTCAAATTTTCCTCACATCTATGGAGCATTAAAGAGTTCTTACCGTTGCAGGAGTCCTTCCACATGGCAGCAGTTACAGTAAATCAGTAAAGTTCACTGGATGGATGTTTCCTGACTGAGAGGCTCTGACTGTGTCTTCAGCAAGGATAAGGAGCACCTTTTATATTGATCACCTGAGACCTAAGAAGGCCATGGTGGTGCCTGAGCAGGGTGAGGGGTGAGGGCGGGTGTTGCTGCCCCCCCTCTTTGACAGCAGTGGTCCCTCCAGAGCCATTCTCACCTAATCACAATCAAAGATGTGGCAAGGTCAAATGTGAATTTGATATAAGGTAGGACGGCATAACAAAGAAGGGGGCCATTCTGGACTTATTGGCCTCATCGAAACTGTAGAAACGACTAACATGTGACTATTTGTTTTGGAGCCACTGAAAAAGACAAAGACACATGTATATTTGTTAATGATTATGTTTACCCAAAATAGCTAGTTTGTCCTTACCATATAGTGGCTTCTATTAAAAACATAGTAAGTAAAGAGTAGTATTAGAATAGCATAATATTATACAAGTGAGCATAAGCACAAGAGCTTTTTTTAAATTACAAAAATATACATATACTGTATGACACAACCTAAGAACTGCAGACTTATCTTATATAAAGTGACTTCCTCTGGATTTAAATTTTGCTCCTGGTTGTAATCTCATTACACAAACATGAGCAGCTCTGCAAATTGTTGAACATTGATCAACCAACAATGGCCTTACAGAAATATCTAACTTAGACTTTAGCAAATAATGCCAGAGAGCACTCTTAGCTGAAGCCTATCACTGGCTCCTGTTGCTTTTCATGTGCAGAGCAGCTGCCTGCTATCACACACAGAAAAACAAAGGTGGCTGAAGTCTTCTGTGATTAATTGAACAGTTAGTCCACTCAAAGACTGGGCTCATTTATAGAATGGACACATAAATGTAACAGTGAGCCTGTCAAGTCACTTAACATGTCCAGACTATGGCCGAGCTGTGAGGAAATGATGTCACTTTGAAAATGTAAACATGTCAACTTTTGAACTTAGCTGCAAAAAAAAACAAACTTTGACAGTCAATCTTGACATTTTTGATTCATGCATTTATTTATGAGCACCAGTTATATCAAATTCAACTGATATACAACAGTTTTCCTCTTAGATTATTGAAAATGTTTTGTTAATGCTAACGCTTTACTAAGAGTCAAAGTCCAACAGTACAAAGGGCTGAGGAAGAAATATGCTACTTTTAAATCCACTGCAAAACAATGCAGCTTGAAGTCTGACAGTAGCAACAAAACAAACCAAGATAATTTCTTTTTATCTTTATCTGTAAATGCAAAGAATCAATGCCTCTGTGTGACGATGGCTCCTGACAGTCAACGTACTCTCCCTATGTTTCATCCCAAAACTAACAGACGTGCACCTACTTCAGTAACAAATGCTGACACAGCAGATCTTAGCTGATCTTCATCAACATATGAATTTATTTATTCAGAAATAATCAAAACCTCTAGTGCTATTTAGCTTTATCTGAAAACTAGTCTGACAAATAATAAAATATATATATGGAAAACGGTATCAGTACACCAGTTCACCAGATCAAATGCTGATTTTACATACAATGATCAAGTGATAAAACTGAACACCAGGACAGCCCAAAGGCTATCCAGCTAATGCAAAATCACTATGAAGAGCTTTGTTTTTGTCTTTATTCTACAGAGACGTGTATGAGACCAAAATCCAATCTGTTCAGCTTATCTCGTCACGTTTATTTAAGAGCGTAATCCTACAACACACAGGTAATATGGAATGCCAGAGTGCAGAGCTGTTGGATAATCAGTCCAGTCCTGCTTTTGCTGTATAAACCAGAGCCATTAAAGAAAGATGTTTTTTGGGCAAAATGCATTTAATTCTCTCGACTGATGCTTTTAGGGCATTGTAAAACATGAAGGGAACATTTCTATAACTTAAGGTGTTCTAAATGCCCAGTTAGCCAACACACAACTGCCTTAGTTTGCTTTATGGGGCATATTATTTTAGTGTGTGGTTGTACCATACAATCATAAGTACTGTAGTACTATAGATTAGATAATTGGTAGCTTGGTAGACAAGGAGCTGCAACAGATGCAAGTTAGTTTAGAGATAAATCAGTCAAATACAAAGCAGAATGCCTAAGCAGTATTTTAACGCTTACATTGTGCAGGCAAATTACAGATTTTTTTAAAAAAAAGACAAATAAAAAAAGCTTCAAAATTAGTACAAGATAGGAAAAGGAAATGAGTAAAAAGGTACACAGAGACAATTAACTGACTAATGGAGACTTTGTTCAGTAGAAGCATAGGCCAAAGGGGTGAGAAGCTAATATTAGCAAAAATATAAGGTTCAGGAGGTTTTTTTTTATATATAAAGAGACATTTTGTTTTCTTGATTCGTTTTTCACTCTAGAATGAATTAAAAAAATAACTCAACAATACGGTATGTTTATTTTTAATCGCTATTAATTAGTTTTCATTTGTTACAAGAGCCTTGTAAATGGTACAGGGATGCATGACAAGTTCAGAAAACAGCCACTAGAGGGCAGCTTTGTAGCACATCATATATCACTTTATTTATTCATATCTGCGTTATTTAAAACATATATGTTTTGAAATATTAAGTGGTATATACATTATTTAATTCTTATTTTTTTATTATTACTTTGACTTTATACGTACTTCACAAATAAACGCCACACCCCCTTACAGTCACGGTACCATCTGTGAGCGCTGTTTCCACAAGGGCATATTTGAAAGTAGGACCAACACGGAGCAGCAGCTTCAGCAGCTTCAGGAACAATGGCTAAAACTGATGGAGAACATTATTTTAAAAGAGCCAGTTTGTTCTGGATTGTCGTGGTGACAGTCTCGTTTGGCTATTTCACAGTGAGTTATACTGTAATAACCACGCGCTTTTATTTTATTTTATTTCATTTTAGACTATGCTGTGTCTTTGGTTCTAGCGATTATTAAAAATTCATCAAATATATGGTTATGTCTTTTTGAGAACCTATAGTTGTTCATATATGATATTTAATTAGCTATAGTAATCAAAAATTCAGTCGCTGGGATCATTGTGGGTATTATTTGGCTATGGTTGAAAAGGTGAGCTAACTTTAGTGCAAAGTTCACCGTGTAACTTCACTGTCGACTGGCGAAGGAAGCTATCGTTGAACTTAACAACACGATAACGTGACATTTGTGACAGATATTCGGATCGTTGGTTCCGCGCTCCCTTACAGACAGTCGGTGCAATTAAAACATTTACCGATTATGACAGATGTATAGAAATACTTAAAACTTGGACTTTCCACATCTGTTACGGTGCCACGTAGAGAACGAAGAGTGCAAAAAAGACGACTAAACTATTTTTAATAGAGTTCTGTTCCTTAGTCCATTTAAATTGTGTGCGAACGTTGCATTTTAAGATCACACGTAAAAAACAGCAGCATGGACTTTTCGACAACGTGTGTTATTTACTTATTCTTGGCCGAATGTATTTCCTTTTTTAGTTCTAGAGATTTTTCTATCCAGTAAAGAGAAAATTATACTTTTGTTTTCTGTCCTTTTCCATGTTTTTGTCCAGATACACTTTTTGGTCAGGTGGTTTTTGGTTAAATACTATTTAGTGGCATTAAAGTAATAAGAAACAAAAGTAGCAAATCTATCTGATTATTTTGAAAAACAAATTTCACTTTGTGGTTGTGGAAACGTAAAATTGATTTAAAACGTGTAAATGTATGATTATAATAAACTTATTGACTAAAAAAACTCTAAAAAGACCAGACCTCAAAGAAAGAAACTGTATCTTTTGTCTTTTGATTTATTTTTTTGTTTGTTTAACAATTCAGTTTATTTTGTTTTTACAGTGTGCAGTGTTTTTGCCGGAAAAAGTTCCATTTGATCAACTTGGTACATTTGGAGCTTTCAGCAAACATCTGGCGGATAATTATCCTGGCGCTATGTATAAAGGGTAAGTGGTTAGATATACATCAAACAGTGGCTGAATTGAGTTGCACACCTAATATATATATATATATTTATATATATATATATAAAACACATATATATATATACGTATATAATGAAAATCAAATAGTATTTACAAATAGTATACAAATCGTTAACAAAACTTTAGGGTATCTGTCAAAGGGATGTTTTACTGTTTTTAACGTCACATGACACAGGAGAACCGTCAAATGGGATTTTGTGAAGAGGTCGTCATTCGGACTTTTGTGATTTCAAATGTGTGAAGTTGTTGAGCTGTCAGGTTGTCATGTGACCTAACTCTGGTGTTGTAGCAGCAGCTGATGTGGAATAGTGTGAAGTTTCCATATTAAGGTAGTGAATGGGCATAGATGGACTTGACTGATCCAAGAGCCAGGTGTTGAGACCTCATGTGGAATTATTTCATTTTGTCTGTTTCAGGTGGTGGGCGGCCTGGGCCGTTCATGCATTTGAAGCATTCGTTGCTCGGAGACTGTGCAGGTATGAATAGCAATGATTTTACTGTCCACAGGGTGGCACTGTGGTCTGTTTTTTTTACATACTGCTCCTCAAAGCCTATAACGTTGTTTGAATTGTTGAATATATATATTGTTGAAATGGGAATAAGTCAAAGTACAATTATAACAACAATCTAAATGTATGGATAGATAATGATGGTTGTTTTTTGATTTTGCAAGTTTACCTAAAATCGTCATCTTTGAGAAAAAAAACATTTTCAAGAAAGACATTCATTTGAATAGCATTAGAACTGACCAAATGCATGTCCTGATTTTATAAACTGACATGATCTTACACCTCTGTTCACCACTTTCTCTCTCTAATCTCAACAGCAACAAAGGGATCAACGACCCTGCCACCCGCTTCCTGTGGTTCATTCAGACTTTTCTGTTTGGTTTTGCCTCCCTCGGCCTTCTCCTCAAATACAACCCTGAGCGTCCAAAACAGAAATGATGTGGACAGCGGACAACAAGGCTTCATCTATGTGCCTCTTTTTCTCTGCATTTTTCTCTATCACATGAGGAAGACGTTTTGAAGGAAACCAGAGCCTTATCTTAAATGTTTCTCTAACCTGACCTCTGCTGTAGTTCTTAGACCTTTTAAAGAACACTAAGATTTTATAGGCTTTAACTTTTAATGAAGTTAGCAGTACTTTATTCTGTGCGACTAAATTGATCAAGCCCATTCCAATGCGTGCAATACAAATATACATCATATTTTGTTGGGATAGATATATATTTCTTCAGTGGTGATAAAGCTAACTCTAGACAGGTTGGCCTCAGACATTCTCAGAGTCACTATTGGATACATTTTTATGGTTGTGTTTACATTCTGAATCCTTGGTTTGAATAATATAAACATGTAGTACATTCCACCATTGCTACTTCTCCATGCCGTCACACAAACTCAGGTACAGTTTGAAGGTTGAATGTTTCCTGGAGCAAATGCATCTAAATAAACTAAAACACTAGAGACAGATCAGGCTAATGAAGGAAATCCTCTAGAGAATTCAAGGCAGGTCTGTGTAGCACTTTCAACCCAACAGCAGTATTTATAGTGTACCATTAATATATTGCAAATACATTGTCTTAGTTCCTTTAACAGTGACAGGCAGAACACCTCGCAACAGACTACTAAACAGATAGCTGAGAGTTTAACATCTTGGTGTGTATTTTTGATATGTTTTTATGTTTAAGTGGAAACTAGCATTGCTATATTTCATTAGATACACATGGATTTTTCTAATGTAAAATATGAGCCATGGTTCAAAAATGTTGGGAAACAAGACTATTGAAGATTGGGACCAAATCCTCTGCATTCTACTGAAGCTATGACCAGATCCCAGTATCATAATAATTTGTCATTGAACTGTGATCATTCATGATGGTGCTCTGTTTTTGAATCCAATGCTGTAATCTCTCCTTATTACAATTCATAATAAAAATAACTTAATTAAGGTTCTCTTTTTTTCTTAAAAGTGTGTGTGGAGCTACTGTTTTTGTTTGACAAATTAAGATGATGACCAGTGATGTTTTATCACTTTAACGTTTGCGAAGTTTACAGTCTGGAGTTCAGGGCCTCAGGTTGTTGACAGTTTATTTTTTAATCTGATTTCTTGCAGGTGTGCGTGCATAATTAAATTTAATGGTGTAAACAATTCTGCCTGCAGGTACTAAAAGAATCGTATTTATTGTTCATGCTCTGGAACATACTTATACAAATATAGCAATTTGGAAAAAAAAACTGAGATGAATTATCCCTGATATAACTGTCTATTAGGTGGTAATTCATTCAGAATTCCAATCGATGATTAATTAGAATGAAGACTGCGAAACAACAAACTACTTTAGCAGCAGCAGAGGCTGAGTCAGAGGTGACAGCACTGAAGATGTAGAAATTTGTAATGAGGGTGAACGGAATAAAAGATTGAGTGCACCAAAAGGCCCTCTGAGGTTGTGGATATAATACATTTAAAGAGGCAAAGTAGTAGAAGGTAGTTTAGATATAGAAATATTTTATAATGAATGTTAAGGATAAAAAGGAAGAAACTACAATCAAATATTGTGTTATTTAAAGTAGTATGAACTCCTTGCAGTGACTGTTTGGTTGATCATGATCCTCAACATGTCAGTTTTTCCTTTAATCAGGAGACAACAGTGTTCTATTGTCACACTGAAGCAGCGTCTTGGTGTCACCGTGT